AAAACTGAACTGCAGTGTACTCACCATAAGGTGTTGGTGGAGAGATGGGGAATGCAGGAGTGGGTGGAGGTATGTCACTATTATCTACATCTGGGCCGTTGGATCTGTAATCCGCACTGTCACTTCGACACAATATGGAATGCTGAAACAAACATTACACACGTATGTATAACCGGAACTGAAAGTTAAGAGGGAAAGAGGTCATTTAAATATACTGCACACATGTGCTGTATCTACCTGGGACTGTGGCACACAGGGGGGACATCTCAGGTGGCCTCTGTATTCCTCTGTGTCAGCCCATCTTGAGTTACAGAAGCCTGAATGATCTATGACGTCCCTTCCTTGGCAACTCAGAGTCCGTGTTATGCCCACTCGTCCGTCACTGGATTGGACAGCTGCATACACACAGGTAGACAGCAGCAAGAAGGTCATTAAATGTTAACAGATTTACATGCATCACTGCTTTCAGGGAAGTGAAGTGCCTTAAAGACACCAATGAGAAACAGTGGTGCTTTGACCTTTGGTACCTTTGAGGAAAGTACGCACAGTGCAGACAGGGTTTGTCTAAACTGAATTCCTAAAAAACTTTTTGAAGCAGTATGGTTACACAGAGTAATCACAGTATTTCTAACACTTTTTTTCTGATTGCAATGAATCAAATGGCAAATTTCTTCAATATCAAAGCAGTTTAATGGAACCTCCAGTCTTCACCTCTGTCATGTTGTTAGTTTTTAATTACATCTTACTTAGACTCCTTAAATCAGACACAGTATAGCACAGGAATAACTATATATTATGATAACACAAGTGCATTTATCATAATCTAATTTGGCTTTATGTGGAACAGTTTGGGAATGTGTTACACCTGAATTTGGGCATGCACAAAAGTGAAAAGGTTTGCCACTTGTGTAATGTTTTGAGTGGACAGCTGAGGAATGCCGGAGGTCTAGCTAGATGGTGTTCAGTGTGTATTCGGGGTGAAGGGTGTTCAGTGTTGTGACTGCTCTGAAGAGTGTGGCCACTCAGCACCAGGGTGTTAATTTGAGCCCTCCCAGTGAGTTCTGACCTCTCAGGCCTGAAGAATGCTAATGCCTGGCCTCATTAATCACTTTGTCTGATCTACAGATGACACAGACAGAGCTGTATTCATAGATGACATTATTTCTTCTTACTGCAGGTCTATGTAGAGTACTTTGCAAAACTCTTGAGCCACCCCTTATTTCTTTATATTTTTCGTTCTAGGCGGCCAAATTTGTAATATGGTCTTGAATAGTTCTCCAGGCTTTCTGAAGGTCTTAAAGTTTTTCTTTGGACATTGACTGCTTTCCCCCCCTTATGTTCTAGTCCTTGTAGCTGATCATTTTCAGATGATTTTTTTTGGCTTGTTAAACCACTTTAACAGTGATGGGAATAACGGCGTTACTTTTTTCAGTAACGAGTAATCTAACTAATTACTATCCCTATCGTTACAGCGGGGTTACCGTTACAAACAAGAAAATGCGGTCGCGTTACTATTTTTCAACAAACAGACGGTTGAAGCTGTGTTCAGCTGACCGCACCTTATATCAGTTGCATGGAAGTAGCTGACTACGTAAGTAATCTGGGCGCTACAGCTTTCAGCAGCTGCGCGCGCTCCCGCGGACGGCAATCACTTTCTGGCAGTTGATCACTTTTTGGCACAACACCTGGAGCTAAGGGGGGCAAAACAATTGCATGAGTGCTGCTGTTTGACTGAGGAAGAATATATTAGTCGTGGTAAACCAATCACACGACCACTTTAAAATGACAAAGCAATAATGTGATATATACCAGTTTTTAAATTGTGTTGATAGGCCACGTAAAACCAGAGTCATGATAAACAATATACACGCGGCATTTTTCCCTCAATAGTTTTGTCACGTTTAACGTCTAAGGACAGCGCTAGCAAGCACTCTCTGCTTACGACCAAACAAAAAACAGCTCGACCGTGTTCGTGGAAAAATGTACCATTATTTCTGCAACCTATCATGACTTCAAGAGTAAGGATGAGATGGGAAGTATAATACATTATCTACAGTATTGTGGAGGGATACCTAGACAATAACCGATAAGGCAGTTCGTGCCATGTTGGAATTATGTTTATGAATGCCTTCTCATGTTGCTTGTCACTTGACCAGGCTAATAATGAATTTCAGAGGATCATTTTCAGTTAACACTATAAGCAAAAAAACATAACTTCTCTCCATAGCCCTAATATTCTTTTTACACCTTTTAACGAAGTTAAAAGGCGCAACAGCTAGTGTTATGCTTAAAAGAGTAACAGCGTGGAAGCTACAAGCAATAACATGATGAACACAAGCAAAAAAGACGTCTAGCTGCATAGATCCTAGATGCAACTTCGAAAGTGCAAAAAACAAGGCCCAAAGCATGAACTTTTAAACAGACATCCTATATCGTGAAGAACTTTTATAAACAAACACTCTTATGCTTCCCACAGGTTATTTGCAAATTAGAAACGTTAGCGCCTTTGGCATTTTTTTTTTTTTACTTGGAATGGTGCACCCATGTAGTGGATATGTGCAGACAGGTATGCCTGTTGAATCAAACGGAAAGAAACATCGCCTGCGGGCTGACTTGTTTCTCTTCTGGAAATTCCTCAGGCCTCCCTATTTTGCACCCCCCTCCTACAACCACGCATACATGCTGTGATTTATCCACCTAGATAGCTTTCCGAATTACCTCTGCATTACTAGTTTTTACTAAAATTGCACTAAATGAATAAAAATGTTGCATTTTAATTTAAAAAAAGCCGGAATTTTTTTTCTGGTTTCTGAATATATTTATCAGAAATGTTAGGCTCTATTAAAATTTAGAGATGTAGACAGAAGCAGAGAGGTACGGAAGGAGATAATGTGAATTCTTTTGCAGCTTTTCAAGAACCTCAGCATGACTCCAGGAATCAGTTTCAACTTGAAGAAAGAGGAAATAACTTTATCGTTGTAGATACTATAGCCATCGTGTTGCATAACCCGTGTTTGCTCAGCAAGTCTAACAACAATCAAAGCAGATGCTTCAGCATCACAGAATCATGGATAAGAACTCAAAAAGATGATTAATGTTAAATGAAGGAATGAAGTGCACATTTCAAATGTGGTGCTTTGAACATCTATACTCAACAACGAGCTTTCAGTGCACGATAGTCACCGATTGTGGACATATCTGTGTGCACACGATGAAATCTCTATTAACAAACAGTGAGACGGTAAGGTTCAGAAGAGAGGACGATAGCTGCTCTGTCTGTCTTCATGTACCACACCGATCCCGCCCTCAGATAGCTAAGCACACAGCTAAAAACAAGTCAGGACAGCGCTCTTTCCTCAGAAAATATCTGAAAACATCTGAAAACCTGGCAACAACCCTGCTATTTCAGCCACTAAAACACGCCAGGTGGGAAGGGGAGAGAAGGTGTGCTTTGTTATGTTCGCTCTTGAGTGAAGTGGAAGAAAAGCTGATGGTGCTGGAGCCAAACAACTTGGGATGAAATAGGTCTTGCTGCTTATATATATTTTTTCTGTGTTTATTTGCTGTATCAAGGCAAACAACTTCCTGTCTGAGATTAGTCACACGTTTTTTTCCAGGACAACACCACATCAACACCATCATCACCACCACCACCACACCCAGACTGACTATCTTACCTGTCTGCTGTGTGCTTTTCAGGTCTGCTGAGTTATTATCGCTGAATCTGAGGTTGATGCCGTTTGAACATTTGCCGACCGAGCCGTTAACCGGGGTTCCACCTTTTCTCTTAATGGAGCTGCCGTGGCTCGGCACAAACGTGGGATCCAGGTCCATGATCAGCTGATTGAGCTGGTCGATGGAGTTGTCGATGTCCTTCATGAGAGATTTGAACTCCTCATCCCGTTTGTTGTTATTGTTGTTGTTTATCGACGTTTGTTCTTTGTGGGGTGCTGCGTTTCTAATAAGATCTGCTGCGGAGTCCCTGGTAAGGCCCTGTGGTTCAGCGGGCAGGCCTGCTTTAGGTAGACTACCACTCTGCTTGTTCCGGTGGAATCGATCTGCATCGTTTCCATCCTCTGGCATATAGGTAAAGTGTTGCGCGGCAACCATTTGCTGCTGCCGAACCCAGGACTGTGTGGAATAGCTTCCCTGTCTGTAGACATGCTGCTGGGGTACAGGGGCATTGCTGGGATTAGAGGAGGCTATAGAGTTGCTCCTGTAGCTCAGACAGCCCCTTCTAGCCTCAGCATAGGATCTCTCATAGTCCTCGATAGGATGAGGTGCGACATGGTGGATGTGGTGCTGGCTTTGGCTTTGCTGCTCCTCTCCTCCGGGACTCCCAAAGCCATCTGACAGCAGGGAGTTCTGGCTGCTCTTGTGGCACGATGACGACAAGGTTCCTAAGCTGTCCACACTGTGCAGATCGTGACCTGTAATGACTTCATCATCAAGAATGTCTGTTTCCCTCTCTCGGGTTTGTGGGTCTCCATTGATGTGCACCTGCGCTGGAACTACCTGCTGGACGCCCACTCTAGAGCCTTCGTCAGTCATCTCCTCCAGTGACGGATCCTCAAGGCCAAAACCACTTAGGAGACGCTTTAGCTGGACCTTTTCCTGCTGACTTGGTCCCTGGTTAGCTTTGACGGAGGTGGTGGTAGTGGTAGCGCTGGCGACAGGTGTGGGTTTGTCCGCCCACAGGGAAGTGCTAGATAAGCCTGAGTCACTGCTGACAGAGAGAGCGTGGTCACTGTGGTCAGGGCTAGAGGTTGCGGAGGTTGTGCGCGGCCCTTGGGCCAGCGCGACGTCTCCTCTGGTGGGGCTCCTCTTGTTTGCCGTCCTGTCCTGTGTTAGGCCTTGAGATCGTGGTGCTGCAAAACAGAAGAGATGCGGCGCTTCATACAGTCAGCTGGTATGGGCACACACAGAGACGCACAAACAGCAGAGACTCACAAACGGGACAAGAAACCACAGACAAGAGAAGGCTCTGTTAACGAGAAGACTCACTACAGACGCCAAACACTCACGCCTCACATGACCATGACAACAGAGACTACAACACAGAGTACGAGAAGAGAGAGATATGACTTATAATACTGAACTGAGACAAGCCATTAAATTAGATGTGTTGGGAAAAAAAGTGTAATGTTATGTAGGATCAACCACATATTTTTTCTGTAATCTAAACTTACTTCAACTAAAGATCTTCCACTCATCCATTCCCAATAGGCCAACTGTTAGAGTGCTTGTTTAGTAGTAGAGTAGCGTGTATAACAGGCAAAAGGTGTTCTTCATTATATAGATTATATATGAGATGTGAAGTCTTCTATCTGCTGCTGCAACAGTCGGACAGCTGTGGATCTTCTCTGACCCCTGCATTCCTCACCCAGCTGTGATGAAGCCACCCAACTCCCTCGCTCTTGCCCCTTGACCCTCAGCATATGTCCAAACAAGCTCCTTAATCCTCAGAAGTAACAGATAAATCTCAAGAGGTCAGTCATTTTGAAAGGCCGAGCTAAATCACGGCATGCACGACAATAGAAAAATCTGGTTTCAGCCATGCTAGACATCTTGCAAAATGAGGTCTGGAGTTGAATTCCAAGGGTGAGGGAACAATGTTGCCAAGTAAGCAGAACTGCCATCTCACTGTCACTCTCCCTCCGCTACAACAAAAGAGAGCAGGGAACATGACTCCTACAATTCTTCCTTAGCCTACTGCGTTAAAGTACTTGCTTTTCAGTCAATCCACAACCAGAGGATTTGAATGCCAGACATGCATGATAAAAGCCCCCCTCCCTCTCTCTGCATGACTTGTCCCTCCCGTCACACAAAATGCACTTTTTAAAATTGCTTTCAGGCATGTGCTGCTGGGATTTTTTCCCCCCCAGTCTTAGTGGAAATTCCTTCTACTAAGGTTTAAGTGGGTTTGAATCTGAATACTAGCCATCTTTCTTCATCAATCCCTCTCATCATCACCACCCCCCCCCACACCTTGCCTCCTCCTTCGTGGCCACCCATTTGGCTGCAGAATAAAATCTCTTACCTTCACTGTCCCTGCCAGGTAAGCAAACAAGACAATCCCAGCCTCCGGTGAAATAAAACTTGAAGAGCTGAACAGGCGATGAATGCACAGAGGAGCAGACATTGCTTTTAACACGCAGGTAATCGTAAGGGGCAAATTCAGAGACTTCGAATAAGTTGGCCCTGCTTTCTTTCACTGCCAGGAAGGTGTTTGCACTCTATACAAGGGAAGAGGGAGGGCTGGGGTGGTGGCGAGGGGGGACCTTGAGTTCTCCAAATAAGGGCAGAGGAATGTAAACAAGTGAGGCGGGACTAAGGAGCTGAGGCGGGCTGGAGGAAACCAGCCCGCCTCAACCTCTTGCTCTGCATTAGGGGACTACCCCATAGGGGAGAGAAGAGGGGGAAGAAGAAGAAAAAAAAAAATCAGGGAATGAAAGAAAAGAGAGGGCAGGCCAGAGAAGATCAAAGAATGAAAACAACATTCTTGTACTTCAAGAAATTTTCGCTCCTCAAAAAGACACTTTTCAATTAAAACAGTCATTAGCGTCTGCAGGGACCTCGGGGCAAATTTCACAAAAAGTGGCAGCCAAGTTTGTTTTTCTTTTACCCTTGTGTGTCGTGAAATTACACGCCCGATGCCCTCATGCGCAATGCAAGCAAGAAACAGATGTGCCTCAAACCCAATTACGGGGTTCACGCATTGTTTTCAAAACAGTTTTACCAATCTTGACATTAAGAAAGCCATAGATGGTTCACCAAACGTGTTTTTAGGTAGCAAACCTAAGAAAAATCAGTCAAACCATTTACATCAAGCATTCATCATTTTGGCTGTTGTGGTATGGTCAGTCTCTGAATAATCTACCAATTACAGTGCACGAAAGCAGCGAAACCAGGACTGCTCCTCCAGCTGCTTTTGTATCACAGGAGGAGGTCTGGTTGTGTATGCCTATGCAATTACCCAACCCTTTCCATTCCTTCTCAGTTACTACCATCCTGCACCCCACGAATGCCAAAAATGTGAGTCAAACACATAATGATGATGAGCATCCTCATTTGCTTCCACCCAGCCTTCTGCATGTGCCTACGATCTGTATACTGCCGCACACAGGGAATCACTTTAAATTCCACTGTACAAAGAGATGAACAAATAATGACTATTATTGAACAATACTCAACCCTAGCAGTATCTCACCATGAGAAAAGTTTTATTTTCTTAGTTTTGGAGTTGACATGGTCAACACAGTAATCAGAAACAGAAGAGATACAGTCTTTCAGTGGCTTAAGTCAAAGGTTTCATTTTATAGGTGTATATCTGATGCTAGTCTTTCCTAAAATTCAATATACTTAGTTAAATTGAGATTCTCCACGCTTCATAAAACCAATGCACAAGTGTTGAAAATTAAAGTTCATGCGATTCTTCCAAATATGAGTCAATCTCCCATCTCATGTTAAGATGCTCAACTTTACAGAGGAAAGAAACACTAGACACTCAACTAATATGTCACTTAACTTGACCTTTTAAACATTTTTATAGGATTTGTGCATTTTATAGCTTATTTTTAAAATAAAGTGAATGTAATTTGGCAAATAACACAGCTTGCTCCATAGTTAATTTGACACTTCACCCTCAAGTCCAAAGCATCACTTCAAAAGAAGACAAAAACAAAATGTAACTGTCTATGATTTAAAAAGAAATTTAAAAAAAGACATCTATCCATTTTTTTTGTTAATTTGTCAGAGGATTTCAAGTATCAAAGGCTCATTGATTCAAAGTATCATTCAAAACCTTTTCAAAACCATTTAATCAACTTTTACAGGATCTGCTTTCATTTAATGTGGACTAACATTTTTGAACTATTTGTATTCTATGTTATAATTAGGACATTATATATTGGTTGCTGTGACCAGATTATACAGAACTGCATTTAATTAGGGAAAAAGTCCAATGAAAAATGCTGGATTATTTACAGCAAAGAGGAGACATTTCCATGGATATCCCCCTTTCTATTTAAATTTAAAAAAAAAAAAAAAATCAACACTGCCAGCCAAATACATTAAAAAAATAGTCAACAACCTTTCTTGAATTAACAATTTGTTAGCCATCAATTCACACAAGGGGATAAACACACACTGACGATTGATGAAAAGCCACTGAAGTAAATGAGGTTTTCTTTTCAAAACATTAGCACTAAAGTGGCAAACGTTTCCTAGACTTCCTCCTCCTGAAGAAGCTCCGAGTGACAGCCTCGCGGAGGTAAACTATCCCTGCCAGAAGACGGGGTGGTAAGTGGATGTAGAATTCCAACAAAGCTCCTAGTCTTGCTTCTCAAATGTAGCGTTTACATGAGAAAAATAAGGCTATAAATATCCCACATGAATGCTCGGGAATCGAGGCAATAGAAAAAAATGCTTCTTTGTTGTTGTCATTGCTTTGCTTTGATGAATTCTTAAATTTGAGTGGTTGTGTTTTTATTGCATTCCCACAAGTGAGCATGAAGAAATCTATTGGAGTATTTCAAATGAAAGCAAAAAAAAAAAAAAAA